ACCAGAGAGCAGAGCTGACTTCTTCAGATATTCATGTGAGATCACTCTGGATCCAAACACAGCTCACAGACACATGTTGTTATCTGAGGGGAACAGAAAAGTAACATTCATGAAACAAGATCAGTTTTATCCTGATCATCCAGAGAGATTCACTTCATTTGGTCAGATTCTGAGTAAGGAGAGTCTGACTGGACGTTGTTACTGGGAGGTGAAGTGGGGAGGACCAGGAGGTAGAGTAGCAGTCGCATACAAGGATGTTTATAAAACAGAGAGTGCATTTGGATTTAATGATAAATCCTGGTCTTTATTTTGTTACAAAAACAATAATGAGTTTTGTCACAACAGCATCAGAACTCCCATCTCAGCTTGTACTGTGTCCAGAGTTGGAGTGTACCTGGATCACAGAGCAGGTGTTCTGTCTTTCTACAGAGTCTCTGAGACCATGACTCTCCTCCACAAAGTCCAGACCTCCTTTACTCGACCACTACATGCTGGAATACGTTTCTGGTTCAATTATGGAGACACAGCTGAGATCTGTAAACTAAAATAATTTTGTTTCTTGCTGAAAGTTTCTTGTTGTGTTGTCTCCACTGCTCAGAGATCAACGTGTCCAACAGTTTTTGTTGACGTTATTGTCCCATCATCTGTTTTAGGTGCAGCTCTGATTTATTTCCGTTTTATTTTCTTAATATTTTTGCATTTCACATTTACATGTTTCTCTTCCACTTCACAGACATTAATATAGAAATCACTTGAAATTTTTGAACACATACGGTATTTGTTGTTTTTTATTAGTATTCTTACTAAATCTGTGCGGAAAACATTTAAATTGAGGAGTTTGTCAATAAATCTTTGTGTTGCTCCGTTGGAGACGCAGCTGAGATCTGTAAACTAAAATCATTTTTCGTTTTATTTTGTTGCTAAAAACTTTTTGTTGTGTTCTCTCCACATCTCAGAGAACAATGTGTCAAACTGTTTTGTTGACATTATTGTCCCATCATCTGTTAATAAAGAAGTAAAATGTGATAATGTTCCATAAATGCTTAAATAAATAAAATAATATAAATACTCTGGTGGTCAGCACGGTGGTGCAACTGGTAGAGCTGCTGCCTCTCAGCGAGCAGGTCCTTGGTTCAAACCCCGGTCCAGGGGCCTTTCTGGGTGGAGTTTGCATGTTCTCTCCGTGCATGCGTGGGTTTTCTCCGGGTGCTCCAGTTTCCTCCCACAGACCAAAAACATGCATGTTAGGCTGATTGGTAACTCTAAAATGTCCCTAGGTGTGAGTGAGAGAGTGAATGGTTGTTTGTCTCGTTTGTCTCTATGTGTCCCTGTGATGGACTTACAACCTGTCCAGGGTGTCCCCCGCCCCTCGCACAGTGATTGCTGGACATGGGCACCAGTGACCCAAATGGAAGAAGCTAGTAAAGATAATAGATGGATGGATGGTACCTGGATGGATTATTGACAATGAATTTTGTGACGTGAGCATCAAGTAGTGGGCGGTATGGCAAGCCCTTTTAACATAAAATCGAGTAGTCTGACTATCTGTAGTTACTTTCTAGATATCTTAAAATGAGTTTTGACTAGGAACAATTACATTTTGACTAGTCAGAATAACAATTCAAGATATTTTAAATGACGTCACCTGATTTGTCATTTGAAGGGTCAAACATCTGTAATTACAATTCAAGATATCTCGAACGTAATTATGACTAGTCAGAACTAAAAGCAAGATATCTTGAAAGCAAATAATGACTAGTCAAAATTAACTTAGAGATATCTAGAACTGTATTTTTGACTAGTCAAAATTCAATGTCTTGAATTGAAGCCTCCATACAACTCAGTGGTAAATCTGACGTCATTTACACTAGTCAGAATGTAATTAGAGATATCTCAAATAACTAATATGTCTAGTCATAAATCAGTTTCAGATATCTGGAATGTAAGTGTGGTGAATCCGATTTTAGCTCAGACTGGTTGTAAAAGGGTCTTAAATATTATGAGATGTTTGGCGGGAAATGAACGGGGAGCAGACAGAACAACATTAAAGAGAATATACACCGGGCTGATCAGGTCAACTATAGATTATGGAAGTGTAATCTATAGATCGGCAGCAAAAACACATCTGGAGAAACTTGACAATATACAACATCAAGCACTAAGAATTTGTACAGGAGCATTCAGGACCACCCCAACCGCAGCACTTAAAGTAGAGATGGGAGAGATGCCTTTAGAATTGAGAAGAACACAGCTAGCAATTCATTACTGGATCAACTTACAAGGAAATAACCCGGATCTTCCAACACTAGACATTTTAAAACCATGCTGGGAAAAAGCAAAGAGAGAAACAAGAAGCTTTGGTTGGATAATCGATCAGAAGATACAAGAAGTTCAAATAAGAAACCTAACAATAAGTCCAATAATACCGTTACCAACAATACCACCATGGATACTACCAACTGCAAAAGTAGATTTTACTCTTATGGAAAAGAAAAAAGATAAAAAAAAAAAAATCACTTTTAACTCATATACAGTACAGAAATATGTAAATAATTATTATGGTTACGTTCAGATTTACACAGACGCATCAAAAGACACAACAGGGAAAATAGGAATAGCAATTATCATCCCAGAGTTCCATAAGAAACAAGTTAAACGGATTACAAATGGATTGTCAGTATACACCGGGGAAATGTTAGCAGTATTATTAGCAGTACAATGGATAGAAGATGTCAGACCATTAAAAACAATAGTATGTTCAGATTCAAGTTCATCACTTACAAGTTTACAGCACAGCCACTCAGACAGCAGAGCAGACATTTTATTAGAAATCCAGCAAGCATTATTCAGAATAATGATGATGGGTTTGGAAGTCGTATTTCTGTGGGTACCAGCACACACTGGGGTTGAAGGAAATGAAGCAGCAGACAGGGAAGCAAAAAGAGCAACAACACAACAAGTTAACTTTATAATAACTACAAGCAAATCAGAAGCAAGAAGCACGGTTAAAGAAAAACTGAAGGAAAAGTGGCAGAAAGAATGGAATGAATAAAACAAAGGAAGATGGTGTTATAAGATCCAAAGAAGAGTGGGAGAGATGAGAACAGGAGGGAGAAACAGAAGAGAAGAGAGATTAGGAACAAGACTGAGATTTGGACACACTGGACTGAACAACACATTATTCACACTACATAAACACGAAACAGGAAATTGTCAGTATTGTGGAGAGACAGAAACAATAGAGCATGTGATTTTAAGTTGTCAGAGATATGAGAGAGAAAGAAGACACATGATGGAGGAACTTAGAAAGATTAAAGAAACATTAAATATCACAAACATACTACAGAAAGAGTCAGGAAGTAAAAGTGTAAAAATGTTGATAAGGTCCTTCATTAAAACAAAGCTGATCAATAGGATATGATTAGGACAGACAACACATACACAAGTAAATATAATTTTTTTTTTTTTTTTAAAGCATTCTGACCCACACTCCATACCAGTAGGTGGCGGTAACGCACAACATAAGTTGTTTGCCAACCGCCAATAAAACTGAAGAAGAAGAAGAAGAAGAAGAAGAAGCTCATACTGGTTTCAGACGAAGCTCAGACTGGTTTCAGACTGGTTTCATTTATCAGGAAGTGAAACTTCCACAGACGCTGAGAGGTGAAATGGCGCAGAAAGGAGTTCAGCTGGACAGAGAAAGTTTCTCTTGTTCCATCTGTCTGGATCTACTGAAGGATCCGGTGACTATTCCATGTGGACACAGCTACTGCATGAAGTGTATTGAAGACTTCTGGGATGGAGAGGACCAGAAGA